GCATACTTTCATAGTCAAAGTATGTTCTGCGTATAATAACTTAGTCAAGTATCAGTTGGCTTGAAGAGAATTTGGAAAACATGTAGATCTGGGAGGTATCCTCCCCGAAACTTCTCCTGTAGCAAAGATAATACTCTCAGATTGGTTGTAGGATAGAGGAAGGATGAGGAAATAAATGAAATGCAGTGTAGATTAAGCCAGGTACAGTAGCTCATTCCTGTCATCTCGGTAATCTGGGAGGTTGAAGAAGAGGATTAAAAACCTGAGCCTACCTGGACAATTTAGCAATTTATGTAGATCCGTTCTCAAAATTTAAACAGTAGGTGGTCGTATAAAGATCTAGTTCAGTCCAAAGGCCTTGGTTTTAATTCTCAACACCACAGGGGAGAAAAAAGAATGGACTAGTCACAATGTGGTAAAAACATTTACTGATATCTCCTGAACCATGATTGGAGCTCTGAGAGAAGAGCCCATGTATCAAGAACAAGTCAAGTCACTACCTGAGGCTTCTTGTTGAACAATCCTAATTTGCCTTGGTTTTAACATTGTGAATTAATAAACACAGTTTGTCAGTGTGTTTGTCCAAAGAATAGTTCATATTTGTATTGAATATGAGTTAAAAAGGGAACTAGCAGGGTTCTTTTTTGGAATGATTGTAATTTCAAATTCTGTGATTTCTAGAAGCATTTTATCTTTCAAGATGCCAATAGAATGGAACATTACTTAACAAAACAAATGATATTAGAAATTTTTATGTAGTCTACATGCTTCTAAGGTCAGTAGTTTTAGTGCTTCTCTTTTATATCATAAAGTTTATTATTCAGGTAACCTGGAATTGAAGTATTTTATTTCTTATTAAGGAAATAAAAAAATCAAATATATTAACATTCTTTTTTTTTTTTTTTTTTTTGTATTGGTACTGGGGATCGAATTCAAGACCGTCTGCTTGCAAGGCAGGTGTTTATGCCACTGAGCTAAATGCCCAGCCCCTATTAACATTCGTATAACCAGAAATTATTGAAGAAACTATCATTTTTTAAAGTTTCCATCTTGAAAGTTCTGAGGTATTTAGTAGGCCTTTATGGCAAATCTACTATATAACGTAGTGGTATGTGGAATATAGCACAAAAGGAAGCTAGACCAACAGAGAAAGAGGGAGAGAGAGAGAGAGAAAGAGAGAGAGAGAGAGAGAGAGAGAGAGAGAGAGAGAGAGAGAGAGAGAGACAGACAGAGAGACAGAGAGACAGAGACAGACAGAGAGAACCTACTATATAACTTGGCTTCTACCTACATAACATACCAAAATTTTATAGTTGTTCATAAGGTGTAATGAGTAAATTGTTATGAAGCTCAGGAGATAAATCCTGGTTATCTTGTTGGTGAAGAAGGATTTGCTGTTTCTTATATACATGGTTAAGGTGCAATGTTAGTTGATCGGTGAACTCAATCCTGGGTGCACTTGGGTGGGTCACGGAGGTGTGGCTCTGGGGTCTCTGTCTGGTCCTTCACCCCTTCTGCTCTGGCACTGTTCCCTTACTGTTTCCCAGGCATCATTATCTAAGTATGTTTTTGTATTCCACCGTTCTACCATGATGTTTCTGCCTTGGAGCCAAGAAACTGAGAAATAAATCTCTAAAACCATGACAAGACATATTAAACCTCTCCTTTTTAATTTATGATGTTAGAAATTGTACCAATGATGGGAAAACTAACTAATGCATTATCTTTATGCACTCACACATACATACAAACACAATTTGAAATTTCCCTATCTACCAAAACACCACAAATATACATACACACACACACATATACACATACTTGCACTAGTTTGTGCACACATAACATGTATGAATACACCACAATCCACATCTCACACACCTGCACGTTTACCAGTACATACTGTACAAAGCATCCCTATATATGTGCATGTACATGCATGTATACTTCACACAGACAAACACACACACACACACACTCATAAATGTAAACCTCATGCACATAATGCACACATGAATGTACATAAGGACACAAGATAACAATGCCAAAATAAGATAGACATAGTGGCTAAGCACACATCCTAAAGTATGCTCACATACACTCACGTGCAAGTGTGCACACAAATACAGAGACTCAGATGTACAAACAGTAATCAGAAGGCTCTTGAGAAATTAAAGGTATCTAAATTAAGACATTTGAGGATTTTAAGTTATAAAGAAGAGCAGTGAAGAAAGAAAAAGGGAATCCATACAAGAAAAATGGTATAAGCCTGTTTTTAGGTTCCTGAGATCTTCCCTTTGCAGAATGGAGCTTGCCATTGTCACTTAAAAAGCACCCTGTATTAATGCCGTACCAAGTTATGATAGGTGTGTCTAACTCCAAAACATGCAGCTTAATCCTTTAAATACACAGTGCAGTTTCTAGCTGAGCTGAGCAAATGATCAGTTTGCTGGGAACTGTAAACAGTAGGCAGTTGACTAACATTTAAACGTGAATTACAGGACCACTCCCTTAAATCCATTTCAGTATTTCGGTTCATCAACAAGAAGGGGATATGAAATTAAAATAGAGATGTCCTCACTTGTAATTTTATTTAATTAATCATCATAGATAGAGCCTTGGCAGTGACAAGGGTCCCACCATTTATATATGAGTCACTAGCATTTTAAACATGGTTGTACACATGGGAGCCTGAGATGCACACTTGTGTTCTTTGTTAAACATACAGCAAAATATAGTCTGAAGACGCCAAAAATGTTGTTTGCAGTATTAACAACAGTAAGTTAGGAAGGAAAAAAATCCTCAAAGCTCCATCTTGTGACACGTTAATGGTTTTTGTCTGTGAAGAAAAACCTCGCCATTCTGTAGGTATGTTAGTACAAAGAATAATTTCTTACTGCCCTCTTGTGGTAATCTTGGTGAACAATTTTCTGATCAAGGAACAGTTTTACTATTTTTAAGAAATTATGAGCCTCTATAAATGTTCTAGGGTAAGCACAAGAAATGTTTCATATTTGACAGTTTTTGACTGACAAAAACATTATCATCTTATTATATGGCTATAAGTAATCTCCTTATTGTACACGTATGTCTAAGTCCATGGATAATTCATATAATGTGTACTTGGACTTATTATTATTTTGGTACTGGGGATCGAGCTTGCAACCTCACAGTTGCCAGGCAGTGCTTATGCTGCTGAGCTAAATCCCCGGGCTTGGATTTATTATTCCAAAATAGTTTTTGTTTGCAATTGACGAGAATTATATCTCACTCTTTCTATACACATTATTGCCATCTTAAGGATTGAACTAAATAATTTACCACTGAGAGACATCCTTACACCTTTTATTTTAGGCAATATTTCATTAAGTTACTAAATATCCCAGACTGACTTGAACATCTCATCTGAGTTCCGGGGCTCTGGGTTTACTTTACCATTCCCAGACACTCTCCATATTTAGATTACTCTTTATTCGCATAACCTTCTTCTTTTTTAAACATGATCTTCTGAATCCATTAAAGTTAGTTCTATTCCTGGAGTTACACATGATTTCTTTTTTCCTGTGTTCCTCACCTCATGGAAACATACTTAGAATCTGTGTTTCTTTCATTATTCAGAGAAATATAACTTGCTTGGAGAGATGTAACCTCTTTGAGTCTGTGTTTTCTTTATATTATAACATCAACTACTGGAACCTGATAAATTCATCAGTGTGTACTATCTTAGCTCCTAATTCTATAATCATGAATTGTGGGACAGATTATCCGACTACCTATCTGCCTACCTATTTATCTATCTATGTTTCTATCTACCTATCTATCAGAGGCAGAACAAGAATCTCCAAAGATGGTGATACAGTAATTCACTAAAACTGTAAATATATATGGCAAGAATTACCTACCTATGCTAATAAACTGATTTAAAATGGGAAATTTGTCATGGATTATCAAAATTGACCCAATACTATCACTTTTATTCTCCTTAAAATGTTTAGAGAAACAACAGAAAGAAAACTCAAGACTGTGCCTTGAGAAGTATGTAACCCAACCATGCTGCTTTAGAAGATGAGGGCTATGAGCCTATGATTGTGGGTGAAAAAGAAACAATATAGCATTCCTCGCTGCATTGAGAAAAAAATACAGTCCTACAACCACCTTTATTTTATTTTATTTTATTTTATTGTAGTTACTGATAATTAAACTCAGGGCCTCTCACTTGCCAGGCCTGACCTTGATTTCAGTCCAGTGAGAACAATTTCATAGTTGTCCTGCAGAATGAAACCTTAAAAACATGCACTGTTTAGGCCACTGGATTTGTGGTAATGTGTTGCAGGAGAAATAGAAAACTGATTATCTGTGATTCAGAAGAGTTAACAAATGGAATAGATGAAAACATTTGCCACATATCCATCAGCAAAAAAAAAAAAATGAATGTTTGTGCCTTTTGAAAACTGGTACATTGAAACTCTTATTCAAATGTGATGATATTTGAGGTTTAGCCATTGTTTTTTTTTAATTTTAATTTTAAAATAGGTAAAATTAAACACAACAAAGCAAAACAAAATAGGACATAAGAAAGCAATGTAAGAGATATAAATTTCAAAGCGAGGTGACCTGAGATCTTCACTATCTATCATATTGTTTCTTGTTTTCTTCCAAATAGTGGTCCATGTCTTCACAAACAGAGAATTCATACAAAACAACATAATGTAAAACTGATCCAAACAGAATGAGGAAGGCGTTTTAGGTCTTCAAAACCAGACAATAGGGAAGTCAGTAATGGCTTGTCGTAGACACTTTCTCTTCAAAATAGCTGTCCATACTTTCATGTATATTGAAGTTCAACAAAATAAAACAGGTTGGGGGAGGAGCTGCTTGGTTTCGTGGCGCTCCAGGTCCCAGCATGGCGTGGGTCCCAGTAAAAGTCAGAAGCTCCTGTCCTCGGGCGCCACAGCCTGCCACACTCACAGCCATTCACAGGGGGTGTGGAGGTTGCTTGAAGCTGTTTCTTTCTAATTAATTGACCATTTCACTGCCCAAGTTCTGAAATGGCCAATAGACCACAGAAAGACTTCTCTTTGGTCCCTGCTTGAAACCAACAGCGTCAGGAAGCTGCTGGCCTTGATTCAGGGCCAGGAGGTTTGGCCTTTGGTTGGAGATAAGATCATGAAGACTGAGTCTTCAAAACTGGATAAGCGCCTTTATAGAAAATGTCCATGAAGACAGCTAGCTCTTTCTGGCCATGTGAAGACACAACACAAAGCTAACTATCTGCAGTCTGGAAGGGGCTCTCACAAGAGTGTGATTACACTAGCATTCTGATTTTGAACTTCCAGGACCATAAGAAATGTGTGTTGTTTAAGCCACTGTGTCAATGGTAATTTATTAGAAAAGACCAGAGCAATCAAAATGCCATAATAGACTCATTGAATGAGGCTCTCCAAATTAGGATCAAAAAAGACAGATTGAAAGAGAAAAGCAAATGTCTTACTACCTCAGATGGTGCATAGTACTTGGGAGAAACCTCCATGCTGAGTAACTCAAAGGAGGGGCTAACACTATAAATAAAGTGTGACCAAAAAAGACAAAGAATACATTTTTAAAAACTTATTAGAGTAAAAAGCACATTACCATTAATCCCCCTCAAAATACACTTCCTTATTTCAAACACACCCTATCATTCCTGCCACTCTGGGGAGTAGTTCTGGAGGTCTCTTTCATGAGTGTCTTTAACTGTGCTCTGTAGTTGTTGGGCTGTCCTGAATTAACTCAAGACAGTAACTTTCATGGTCATTTTGATTTTGGAGATTGAACCAGAAGTCACTTGGCGCCAGATCCAGTTAATAATGTGGACAGGGACACATCATAATATTTTTATGAGCCTACCTTTCCATTAGTTGACTCTCAGCAGTAGCATTCAGCATTTTTGACCCTAACTCAGAGACATTAGAAAAAGAGGCCTTAGAAAAAGTGGCAGGACTGATGCGATGAGTGTGTTTGAAGTGCAGAGCAGTATTTTGAGGAGGCTTAAAGGAAATGTGCTTTTGTACTGTAATAATTTTAAACATTTAAGTATTTACCATATGTTTCACTCATCCTTCCTACATAGAAACTTAGCAAAGAATAATACATTTGTCGAGAAGTAACAAGACGAAGGAAAAGGTCATTGCCACGACTATGAACTGTGAAGAAGGAAACGTGAGTGTGTGAGGCAGGGGTCCTAACAAGGTAAAGATAGTGCAGAAAGTGAGCTTCTTAGAAGAGCACTTCTGTCAGGGACCTCAGAAGAAATGCAAAGCTCAGAAACCAGCTTCAGCTCCTGCCACTCTCCCAGGACACTCTAGACTGAATTTTAGACTTCTATCTTTTCTAATAGAAAACAAATTTTTAGATCTCTAATTTTAGCTCTAACATAAAAATTCTTGACTATTATACCCAACCTAAAAAAAAAAAAGAAAATCTAAACAAACTGAAAAACAAACTCACATGTTTGGACTTAGTTCCAGCCACAGGTGTGCAACAAAGATCTGCCTACCTGAAACTGAAACTGCCTACCTGAAACTGCCAAAAAATGGGGAAACTTACACAAGAATGTAGATGAATTGGCTGAGGAATTAACTCAGCAGCTCAAGCAATTGCCTAGTTAAATGTGAGGTTGTAAGTTTGATTTCTGTTACCAAAAGGAGGCTAGGTATACACCAACAGGAGAGTGAAAAACTTGTGAAACAAAATATGACCAGCCCCTTTCCCTGGGGTCCTTTAGTGGGCTTTCTGTTTAGAAACCCCAGGAATTTCTCACAGTAAAGATCTAGAAAGATTCCCTCTTGGTGCTGACTAAAGAAAGGACACGGGGATCTGTGGAATTGCCCAGCATAATCTGCTCGACAAAGGCTGATTCTTAAGGGGAAAGTGTTCCCTGAAAAATTATTTATTTATCTTCCCTGAAGATTTATCTCAAACATTCTGTACACTGAGGCTCCCTTTAGGCTCCTGATTTCAGCTAAGGAAAGAAAACATATTCAAAAGCAAATAGATGTTTCAAAGGAATATTTTGTGAATACCAGGCCAGAAAGGAATTGTTAGTTGTAGGCAAAAAAAGAGCTCAACTTTGAAGGTCAAAACTCAGGAGGTAGGCTCATAAAAATGTGAGATTTGAGTTGTCATATAATGCTCCTTCTCCCAGTTTAATATCACACAGTCTCCAGTCTGTTGACAGTTATATGAGGACTGAATGAGAAGATATGGCTTCTGTTAGCAGAGTGTTTAGGAAACTCAGTCAAAAGGATAGACAAAACAAAGCTAATTCATTAGCTGGACCAGAAGCGCCTGGAACCTACATTTACAGGAAATACTAAATTCAGCCCACTCCTGGAAGGATCACATAAATCTTCACACTGCAGACTCATTTGTCTCAATTTCCATTACTTGGTGGACATATGTCTGACTTCTGCAAACATTGCTAAGCGTAATAAAAGACAAGAAAAAGAGCACAGTCCAAACAAATTTAATGTGATCATTTGTACGAGACTCAGACATGATTCACATGTCGGAAATACGAGGCAAGGGATTTAAAATAAATATGATCAACATTTTAATAAAAACAGTAGGCAATGTAGAAGATGAGATGGGTAACACAAGCAGAGAGATAAAACTGGGAAAAGCCAAGGGAAATCCTATAAAAGAAAGATATCATGGGGGCATAAACAATGCCTTTGATTTACTCACTGGACTCAGTGATTCTGAAGATACATCCATAGAAACCTCCCAAACTCAAAGGCAAATAGCCATAAAACAAAGCAAAATCCAGAACATTTAAGAATAGTGGGTCCATTTCAAAAGGTGTAATGTACATGTTAATGAAATACCAACAGAGATCAGAGCAGTAGGCACATTTTTCAAAAGTACACAAAATGTACAACTACATATATTACAAAATAAAGTTTCCATTGAAAGAGTATGTAAAAAATTAATGAGGGCAACATAGATACTTGTATTTAATGTACTAAAGCCTTTAATTCAACAAGTGATAAGTTCATCTTGGCTATAGAAGATGATTTTTTAAAAAAATGACTGCAGTAACAACTAATGTTAGAATGGCAAGGATCATGTACACCAGGCTTCACAACCTGGTTATATATAAAGCTTCTGGTACATGTATACATATATGGTATATGTATACATATGCATATACATATACATATATACACACAGAGAGAGTAACTCAGGACCTTGCACTTTCCAAGCAGGCTCTGTGCCACTCCATGGAGCTATATCCCTGGTCCCTGGACAATATAATTCTAATTGAAGTCCAAAGTCTGTAACACGTATTTATCTCAGAAAGATAATAATTATGCATTATAAAATAAATCAAGGCTGGGAAACCTTGGAAGTTACTATAAAGCCTAGGAAAGAGATCGAGCCCAGTGTCTGAGGTAAATATGTAGACTTTTCAGAGTTGGGATATGTAGTGAATCCTATAACAAGTAATAAAAGTGGTAAAAATAAGATATTAATGTTTTTTTAAAAATCAGCTAATAGAGGCATACTGATAATTGCCAGTATGAAAATGTTCTCTAACAAAGGAGTTGACATTTCAAAGTCTTCAGAATTCTGATCAGCAACAAAGATGTTATTTAAAACTAGCTTCAGAAAGTTCTTACAAGTTTTAAAGGCATTTGAAAATGGGTTTTCACCTACTAACATGACCTTGAAAATTATGCTGAATTCAGTCCACATATATAGTACAGGATAATGCTGAAATGGTTGTTTATAAAATTTCTAATGGACCGCCATTAAAGCTTCATACCCTATCAATGCAGATGCTACAACCATCTGATTTTAACGTAGCTGATGTCATCTACTAGTTTCCTTTCTGGATGGATTATTTGATGACCTACATGGTATATCCTAATTGTCATCATGGCATCACATTTGTAAATGGAATAGTGATGAAATTCATGTTTAGCAATATCTATTTTTGCCTCCTTCAATATACATGTAACGTCAAGTCCTTGTAGTTGTATCTTGTACATCTTTACACTATCAATAGAGTATATCCAAGCAAAAAAGCTTATATACTGGACTCCATATCTTTGGCTTGTACAACAATAAATTTGATCAACCATGGGTATAAAATATTTGAGAAAATAATTAGTCTATACTGAATATGCACAGACTTTATTCCTGTCACTATTCCCTAAAAATATAGACAACCAAATACGTTACATACTGCTTGCTTTCTATTAGGTATTATAAGTAATCTAGAAATGCTTTGGAATATATGTGGTAGTGTGCTTATATTATATGCAAATCTTGCACCATTTTTTTCTAAAGAACTTGGGTGTTTTAGTATTTTGGTATGTGCTGAGCATTTTAGAACCAATCCTATCAGACATCGAGGGATAACTAGCATTAAAGACCAGATGCTTATATGGGTAAGTGAACTTTTACTTTTTCTACTATAATAACATTTTAAAATATTGCTATAATATTATAATAAGAAACTGTAACAACCCTAGAAAAGAAGTCACATTCTAATGCCTACAATGGAGAGATTCCACATGTTTTTCTTAGATGATATGTTTTTTAACAATTTGAATAAATAATTGTTTTGAAAAAAGAATAAAGTTTGAGATGAGAGTTTACTTTTTTCCTTTAAAGTTCAGAGAACTTGATAACACTTGCCCCATGATTCTGTGCATCAATAATGTGTGCATTACAGTCTCTACTGCTTCGCAAGTACATGTCTTTACATGTAATCCCTGTGGCCTCCCTGGTTTTTGTTACCCACTTAGCTCCTTATATTAGCCAACTAAGAATGCTATGACAAAAACACCACAGGCTGGATATTTTAGTATCAGATCTTTATTTTCTCACAGTCATGTGGACTGGGAGACTAAAATCCAGCTGTTATGAGGTCAGTTCCCCTGCCCTTCTTTGTTTTGCACAGGCTTTTGCTGTCTCTTACATGGTTTTTTCTCTATGTTTACATATCTGTGCTCAGCTTCCTCTTATAAAAACACGGATCATACTAAGTTAGACTCCCACATTTATGACCTCTTTTCACCTTAAATCATTCCATAAAGGCCCTACCATATCAATTAGCCCCATACATATTGGAGTCTTCAACATAAGAA